GAACCCTCAGTTTGTTTTTCAGAGGCCATCATCTCTCATGGTTAATCTCCCCCTCTGATTGTGCAAGACTGTTGAATCACAGATCTGCTTTTATATTTTTAAAGACAATAAATCTTTAGAGCTTCTACAGTAGGTATGAGATTACAAATGCTGAAATTCTTATACTGCACAGTCTTAGTCTCCAACAGTGGTGGTGTCACACAGTTCATTGCCTCAGAACCCAAGTGCTTTCTCCAGCTGTCACATCCATGTCACACATGTGTTCATGTATAACAGTGTGCCTAGGTGATCTTCTGCGGTTCCTCTGTTTTAGTATAGGCCCATAACTTCTCCCACAAGGTTGATCAATTCCAGAATTGTTCTGAACAGAACACAAGACTGACAAAAATTCTGACTACACAGATGGATAAACCAAATGGAGCTATTTAGGATGAGAAAAAGGTAAAGAAGACTATGTTCTTTGAGGCATGTCATGAGGCTACAGTTGGCAAAAATTAAAAATAATGAATGAGAACATGGGCTTTGGAAACAATGAGAATGCGTGTATTTTATCTGTTCATTTATTTTATTTAAATTCAATTAATTAACATATAATGTATTATTTGTTTCAGGGGTACAGGTCCGTGATTCATCAGACACTGATACAAAAACATTCATTTAAACAGGAGCTTGCATTAGAAACAGATGTTGTGTGATTCATTTCAATTACAACTTAAATTGGTTTATTTGTCAGGCCATTTTCCACTAAACTTTGCATGAGATGCAAGATGTATGTTTTTTTTTTCCTATCCTTATAATCTATACTACTTATTGCCAGCATACACACCGATCTCCAGGTTACTTTTCTTCATAATTGTCATTGGGTTGGATAGGGAATTGTCTTGATAGAAGTAAAATATATTTCCCTTCTCTCTCTTTGCTCCTCTGGTTAATAAACAAAGCCAAATGTGTCTCCCTTTTGTTTTTCAGCCATTTAACATCTCTGGGTCTCAGGTTTCTCATAATAGCTCCCTTTATCGAAATCAGGAAGATGGGCCAGATGATTGAGGTTTTGTTGGGTTTCCTTAATCTGTGCAATTTGTTCTTAATGAGATTCTGATATGGATGTTGATCAGCATCATTATTATGGCTTTTTCTAGTCAGAGAACATAAAAATGAAAATAACTCAGCACAAAGAAAGTGGAATTTATTATAGTAACACAAAAAGGTCTCCTGGGAATTGAAAGTATCAAACATGTCCACATGTCCACACCTCATGAGAACTAGAAATAGGAAGTAAAAGCCTTCCTGAACTCACTCATTCGTTCTCTGACGATGTCAGACTCTTCATCTTCTGGCTAGTTTTTGCATCTTTCTCGTTTTCTTTCTTTCTGTGCAGGCGGGCTTCCTCTCTTTATTCGCAGTCTCTCCTCTCTCACAACCACATAATAGCAGTGCACCCTAGTTCTAGGTCATGACTTCTGCATTTAGTCCTACAGTTCCTGTCTCAGATTCTTTATACAAGAGCTAATTTCTGGGAGAGGACTCTGATTGGTTCATCTCATCTTTTTGAGCCAGGCACAGATTTATTTCCTGCCTGTAGATCAGCTGCTTTTAAATCAGGTATCTACTCTCTCTTCCCAAGGTGGGAGGAGGGCAGGATCATGAGATATAGAATGTGGCCTTGTTCAATCAGCAGGAACTGTCAGCAGGGCAGTTTCCCTCACAGAAGGGACCCTAGACCTGGCAGGCAATGATGCACAGCTCTACTACAATCAGCTCTTGGGGAAAACTAAACTGGCATGACTATTTTACAGGGAACAAGGATTTGTGGTTGGAATGCTTTATAATGTTTATTCAAATTTATGAAAGATAAAATAAAAATGTGTGTAGGAACATTGATTCTTTAATACACACACACACACACACATTCCCTTTCTTAAGAATACTTTGAGGGCGCCTGGGTGGCTCAGATGGTTAAGCGTCTGCCTTTGGCTCAGGTCATGATCCCAAGGTCCTGGGATTGAGTCCCGCATCGGGGTCCCCGCTCAGCGGGGAACCTGCTTCTCCCTCTGCTTCTCTCTCTCTCTCTCTGTCTCTCATGAATAAATAAATAAAATCTTAAAAAAAAAGAATACTTTGAAAAGAAGGGATCGTTCACATGCTCTTTCTGAGTGGATGCAATATTACCGGATGTTAAAGCAATATTTTATCTCTTCCCTAACAAGCTAGCCTGAGATGTGTGCTGATCATGGAGGCAGCTCATAAAAGACTCACTTTTCCAACCCACTATAAAGTCTCAGAGCTCAATCTGGTAAGAAGCAGACCTCAATAAAACACATAACCCCTTTTCCTTATTCCAGTGCTAGAAAATGGATTTTTATCAAATGATTTCTTATGATAAAGTGGCAAATTATAAACCATCTAATGCCAGAATTCCCTGGCACAAAGGTTTTGAGGAATACGTTAAAAGCTCAGGTAGACCTGTTAATATACATATTTTTCATGATAAATAGTGATAAAGCATTTTGAAGTATTTTATTAATACTGAAAGGAAAGATATTTCCATCTAAGGCAGGGTTTCTTGGCTTTGGCACTATTGACATTTTGAGCCAGGTGATTCTTTGTTGTGGGGGCTGTGCTGTGTAGTGCATTATGTTGGGAGGCATCCCTGGCCTCTACCCACAGATGCCAGTAGCACACACCATTACTCCCAGTTGTGACAACCAAAACTGTCCATAGACATTGCTAAATGTCCTCTGGGGGCAAAATTGTCCTGGGTTTAAAACCACTGATTTAACCTTTATTCTCCACAAGAATTATTTTTATTTATTATAAATATTGTCCTATTCCCCTAACATTTTTAGATTTTAAAAATATGCCCTTTTGGAGTGTAATCGAGCACTACTGATTTGGTATCCTCTCTTGTTTTTCTACAATGAATCAAATTCTCTCATGCCTGAATTAGCCTGACCAATTTCATTAGCCAACTCACACCCATTAATCCCATTAATTTGCGTCAGTGTTAGAGAATCCCCTATGGCCCATAGTTTCTAAATATGTCGCTCTTCCTCTCACAGAGTAGCTTGCGTACTTGAGAAAGCTGGCTGAACAATTGTAAGTACATCTCAAATAAAAATCGTTTTAGTGTTCTTGTTCAAAGTATCGCTACCTTTAATTTCTTTCTGAAAAATTTTCCATCCTTCCTTGAGTGCTTGCACTTTGGACTAATGAAGAATTAATAGAAAATCTGTTGAATGAGGGGACAAAATACAGCAATTTTAAGCCTTTCTGTTCCATCTAAAAATGTAATACACCAAGACAAGTCATAGACTGATGTCACTGTTAATATTTCTATTAAGATGCAGCTAGAATAATTTATTTTAAATAGAGCAAATAGTTTCTCAGACATGTAAATAATAAATTCTCTCAGAAAGAATTTGCCTATCTCACAAGGTTGCGATAACAAAATGTGATGATAGATATGAAAAGCTATGAGAACCACAGAGCACAGAACATTCTCCAGGAGAAAGAGATTATTATTATGCGTGCACTGTAATACAAATAGTACAAAAGGAGATATGGCTGTATTTTAAGTCTTTACATAATGTTCATCATTATCACCATGATTATCATTATCTTCAAAAAAGTTTTCATTAAGTTTATCAATCTCATGTCCATATTTCCATTTATCATGGAATCAGGTCATAGATCAGAATAATAATGCTAGAAATACATAAGAAAAGTTCTGAAGGGTACTTGGGCCACATCACCCACTTCCAAATGTAACATAATACAAGCAGAAATACTTTGCACTGAATTACTTCTTCTTGCAAATAGGGTAATAAATTACTGCTTTAATTTCAAACCATGATGTGATTTTTAGCCAGTATTTAGTGAAAACAGAGTAGGAGTTGTGTAGAGCAAAGATCTCACTGCATGCATACGGTTCTCTCTCCACAGGAAACAAAACAGTTTCCAGAGAAAGAAGGGAAAGGGTCTACACACATGCACACCCATGCACCCATGCACACACACTTACTTAAATCTATGCAGAGATTACTCATGTGTACACTATTTTCTCCTTTTTAATGGACAATTACATTTTGTATTACTGGAGCTCTTTAAAAACAGACAACTAAAACTCAGATAATCATCATGGTTCTCTCTAGTAGCTTGATCTATTTATTGAGCCCAAATCTTCCTGTCTCTCACTGCCAGGGGAAATCTGGGAGGAAAAAAAAAATGGAAAGGGATGTCCTTAGTGTTATCTTTTACAAGAGGTGAGGAAACAAACTCAAATACAAGCCCAGCTCTGAAGTCAAACCAGTTCTTAAAACAAAGCAGGAATGAGATAAGAGAGAAATAGTTGAGCAGTTCCACCACTGATATCAGTTCTCAGGCCAAATAAATATCTCCATCAAAATGTGCTTTATAAACTATTTTTCAGTACCAGGAGGCAAGTTGTAATTTGCTAGAAAGACCCAGATAATGGTAATTGATGACCTTTATAAGGCAAACAGCAGTATTCATTCAAAAGGCATTTGCAATTTGGAAAACACCTTCTCCTTTTAAGTGCATCAATCTTTAGTTATTATTGAGCACACATTCCCCCCCCAAAATAGTACCCTAAATATAATCCAGAGGTAGATTTTTGTGCACATGGATCTCTCAGCACAACTTTCCTTTAGTTGACCTACCCCATGACCATTACCTTAACTTTAAACCTCAAAATTCAACTAAATGGATTTAACCTACATTGGAGTGAACACTTGTGCATGCCTTCAATTATTGCTCCAGTACTTCTAACCTGTTGGTTGCCCTATACCTGAAGGCGCAAATTTCCTTGTATTCAGGTATAACTTCGGGGAGAGCAGGACAGTGGATCTCTGGAAACATGATACCACAGACTATCACTTTCATGACGAAAGGCCTTTGATGATGATCGTGACGATGACCGTGATGATGATGATGATGATGATGACCAAATTTTTTGGTTTTTTGTTTCATTTGTTTCACAGGATTATACACTCACCATGTATTTCCAGCAGTCTTGGAAAGACAAAAGGCTTTCTTATTCTGGAATCCCGCTAAACCTCACGTTAGACAACAGGGTAGCTGACCAACTCTGGGTGCCAGACACCTACTTTCTGAATGACAAGAAATCATTTGTGCATGGGGTTACGGTGAAAAATCGAATGATCCGACTGCATCCTGATGGAACTGTTCTCTACGGACTCCGGTAAATGACTTTGTGTTGCATGGTTCACTGTTACTGTTGTTGTTCTTGTTGTTAGGTTTTATTTTTTACTTTTGGGAATGGGCAGTGGGAAGAGAAGCAAGTAGGAGAATATAGAGACACTCTCATCTCTGTAACAAAATTATATTAAAGACTGGAAAATCTCTTTTGGAATCACTGGAGCTAAACCTAGGCAATTTTGTTCATCAAAGGTAAGTGAATTATTTGCCCTGAACTTCCAATAATAAACAGAGTAATAAGAAAATGTATGTTTGTCAGATTTTATATCTAACTTATTGAAGAAGTTAAATATTTTTTTAGCTGATTGCTTATCTCAGAGCCACCCAGACTGAACTGAAATGTGTTCTAAGTATTGGGTATAGCTACTTAATTATGAAAGAGAATTAGGAAACAATACCTTGAAGAAGTAGGAAAATAATTTTTGGTGACTTTGAGAAGATTCATAGTGTTTTCATTTCCTTAAATCCCTCTTTTAGTGTTTGTATTTGGGTATATGATCCATATTGAGTTATTTTTGTTTTTCATGTAAGGTAAGGGTTGAGATTCAATTTTTTCCATATGAATATCCAGTTATATATTTCACTGAAAAGATTCTTCTTTTCCCACCAGATTGTGCTGGTGCCTTTGACTGGCTAAGTGGGGGGGTCTAGTTCTGGGCTCTACTCTGTTCTATTGTTCTTTTTGTCTATCCACAAGCAGTATCACACTATTTTAATTATGATAGCTATATGGTAAATCATAAAATAGTGTAAATCCTCCAACTTTGTACTTATTGTTTAAGATTGCTATGGATATTCTAGGCCTTGTGCTTCTTCCTATAACTTTTAGAATCAACTTGTTGATTTCTACCCAAAAAGTCTGCTGGAATTATAATTGAAATTGCATTGACTCTGTAGATCAATTTGGGGAGAATGACTATCTTAAAATTATCTAATATTCTAATCCATGAATATGATATACCTTCATTTATTTAGGTTACCTTTAATTTATATCAAAATGTTCTGCACCATAATGGGTTTTATTTTGTTTATTTGGCTTTTTAAGTATCAAGTATAAAAGAGGTATGATACACCTGTAGTGGTTTATTATTAACCCTCAATTGGTTAATGGTTTATTAAAAATTTTAGAGCTATAATTCAAATCAGCTTCCCATTTTACCAAAGAAATACCTGAATTGTGGCATGTTATTGTAGGATATGTAGAGTGGTGGTTCTTTACCTTTATTGTCACCTTTCATGATATCTTTGAGAAGCTGATGAGAACTATATTCACAAATTCACATATGAGCCAAATTTTCCCATTAATTCAGGGTCTTCATAAGCCCCCTAAAATTCTTCACACACCATCCACACCAAGCTAAAACTCTAGACAAGGGATAAAATGCTACAGTTAATTTCTGTATATTCACGAATACCCAAAAACAATATGCAAGTGAAAAAAACTGCCTTTTTTTTCTGCACTAAGTTCTGCACTAAAACTTCTGAACTTAACCCAGTGGTTGATTATTTAGTTGATAGATTTGGACTTCATTTGCATAGTAAAACAGCATTAGTTGCAAAATAACATTTGTAATTTCTCCAACTTTTTCATTACCCCAAGAGCTTTCAATTCTAGTTTAAAATCTCTGACCTAAAAGTCTCTCAGAAAAATGGTAAAATAAACCAACAATTCCCTTCAGTGTATTGATAGTTACTACTGACAAAATCTCCTAATCCAAGATCAGTAGTGATCATTAATGATGGCACCTTCACTGGAAATCAGTTGTAATTTTTTGTCACCTATGAAACTTCTATCGGATATAACCAAGGTGTAAAGGGACAAATTATTCTTCTAAAGTATTCTGGGAGAATAATTCCATAACCCAATGTAGCAAGCTAATCAATTACATGTAGAATCACTATATGTGATTAGCAAAGAATGTATAAAAAGTTGTTTTTGTTTAAAAGAAAAAGGAACCAGGTTTTTTATAGGCAAGAAAGTAGTTTGCATTCTCAGTTTACAGAGTCTCACTTCAGGCATTTCTCAAATTGTTGGTAGCCTCTACCAATGGGAATTGATGGAAAGGGAGAAAAATATTTGAGAACCATGAAGCTGAACACAACTCATTGTAAACTGATAAAACTGAGGCACAAAACAAGAAGGGCCTTTTCTAAGGGCACAACGAAGTAATGGCAGTATCGGGACTAAAATCCAGGTATCCTGATTCCCATACATGTGCTTTTCCTACCCACTGCCTTTCATACACATTTAGAAGTCAACACCTCCTTCCAAGTTGTACAAGACTGCTTTCTCCTCTTTGGAGCCAACGCAGGCTTGGAGCCCCCAGACAGGTCTCCTAAAGGTAAACGCAAATCCTTCCTTTATTATGTGAACTCTGATCTCTTTTGGCACCAGCATTCTCCATAAGAGCTTCACACCATTTCTGATATTTCTCTTTCCTTGTCTTCTTCCCTACCTCTTCCCCCCACAGGTTTGTTTTTCTTTTCCTGGAGTTTATAAACATCCTGGAGAAACCATAAGATATAGCAAAGAAAGCATGACATCTGGAGTCAAAGGACCAAAAATGGGCTCAAACTCCAACATTTCTGATTGTTTGCCTTGAACAAGTGACACAAATTTACTGAGTTTTAGTCTATCACCTGCAATAATGGATTAATAATCCCTGATACATAATTGGGAAATTCTCATGAAATAATGATTATGTTAACACATGGTTAATTCTAAATTATATTTTTCTAAGTCACTGTGCCTTATATAGCCTTATTAGGTGCTGGAAAAACTGCACATGGTGGGGTGATTCTCTAATTCCCAGGGGCATCAGTGACCAAAACAGAGATACAGTTGTCCAATTAAAAAAACAAAAAACCATTCAGGGGGACCTGGGTGGCGGCTCAGTCGGTTAAGCATCCAAGTCTTGGTTTAAGCTCAGGTCATGATCTCAGGGTCTTGAGATCAAGCCCCACATCAGGCTCCGCGCTAAGTGGGGAGTCCATCTGAGATTCTCTCCCCTCCCTCTCCCTCCCCCTGTGCCTTTCCCTCTGCTCACACAGTGCTCCCTCCCTCTCTCTCCCTCTCTCAAAATAAATAATTAAAAGAAATTCAATGAGTGCCCAGTATATGCCATATATTCACTATTCTGGCACTGGAAATAATTCCTCAGAAGCCTGATAGAAATTTGTCACTGTGGCAGAGGGAAACTCTGCAGTGACTGTGCGTCAGAAGACTTGTGGCTGAACTAGATTGTGCTCTTCAGTAAGCTATTTTCTCCTCTGGGCTTCAGATCCCTCAGTCTTAAAGGGAAGAGATTGCATAAAATTCTCCCTAAATTCCCTTCCAAATCTAACTTCCATTGCTTCTATGGTCCTATATATTCAGGCATGTTTATTTTAATTCTTCTGATATAACATTTCTTAGTCTTAGAAATGACGATCTGCATTTTTTCTTTGTAATTGCCTTTTCAAGGATAACTGCCATGTATTACTTCCTAAGCACATGTACTAGAAAATCCTTATCATATAACATATGTATTGGCATATTTATAGCTTTCCTAATTTAGACATGGATAATGAGGAGAAAGAAATTTTTGCCTTATCCTTTTCCATAAGTCCAGCTAATAGTCATTATGAAATGAGACCATACACTAATAGGTTGTTTTTAGCATTGATGGGATCAATGGGATTTTCTGAATATAACTGAAAGCCCCTTCAACCAGGAATTCCATAATCACAAGACCATATCACTAAACTAAATAATGTTTCTGTATTCAGACTCACTATGAGATGCTCAAACAATGGGTAGGAAGCCACAGGAATAAAATTGGTGGTTTTCTATTTTTGTGAACTGTGTCAGATCAGACTTGCCACACAAGGGAGGCCACACAGTTGTGATAACGCTTTAAAATAACGGAATGGTGTCTGATGGGAGTCTAGTGCTTTTGGAGGTAGCCAGGCTGCTGTGCAGCTGGCGTGCAGTAAATAGAGGAGACTCCATTCCTTATGTATTTTGCTACCAGGTTACTTCTGCTGTGACTAAATGCATTGAACCAAGGAGGAGCGCCACACTCACTATTACTTCTTCTTCCATTTTGCTCGAGATCTACATAAAAGATGTCTGTGATGTGCTGTAAGCTGTGGCAGGAGACTGGAACTTACGTCTGTGTCCCTCGACTGCTCCTCCCTGCTCCTTTCAAAGCACATAATGGCATTTCTTTCCTTACTCAAACGTGGAGACCGAACAACCAAATGCCTCAGCGTCATGGCATCAAAACCTTAAACTTTGGTCTTTCCTCCCTTCCATTTAACTCTGAGGATGATTTTCTCCTCTTTCGAAGGCCAGTCTCTCCACATATGCATTTAATTTTCTTGCTGCACACTCATTTCAGACTTTGCTCCATTCTTTTAGCAAATCTTCAGTCTTCCCTCCCCCCTGGCTCCTTCCCCTTGGTTTTGTCCTCAAACACCAGTCCTCTCACATCTTACATCTTTGGTTTCCTCTGTTCTCTCACCATTTACTGCTCAGTCTCAAAAACCATGGCTCCACCCATGCTACTTTCCTGAAACAACTCTCCAAAATTACCAGCACCGTTGCTGGTTCTCAATCTATACTCTTGGGTTCTCTGAATGATGTAGGAGTGGTGACTGACCTGGACTTCAGGATTTCCAAGACTTGGCACAGTTTTTTCATTATTGCTGTTCTGGTCTTTTTGCTCTTTCCTCACTGGTTCCTCTCTGGCCTCTAATGGTGAATTAGTGGGATTCCTTGAGGTTTGACCAACTCACTAAGGTGACAGCTTAAATATCTAAAATCCCAAATTATTGAGTTCAGAAAAATATTTGTAATTGCTTACTGAGCATCTGTATCTGGACGCCCACCTGGGCAGATCCTCCTGACATGACCCCTATTTCCTATTATCTGTTTTTTTCTAAAACCAGATTCTCCTCCTTATACAACTGTTAACAAAAATCGTCATCCTCCAAGTCAAT